ATTGTTAAAACTGGGAAATCTCCGCTTAAAAGATCTTCCTGGGTTAAATTAGTAGACACAATGATGGGACGGATGGCTAAGCCGTATCTGCACTTAAATATCCCATTTGTATATTTGCTATATCGCCCGAGGAGCTTAACGGGCTAAAATAAATTATGTAATTGACAACTGCAACATATCATGCCTCTATGATAACATATATTATTTATAATTTTATTCAATGTTTTTTTTGTTATAGTTTCCATATCATTGAAAAAATTTCGTGAACTTTTTAAAATACATTGTGAAAAATCAGGATTGACTGTTGCAAAAATTGCTGAACAAAGAAAAGTCGCAATGGATGAAAAGGAAAAAAACCGTACTGAGTCCGAAAGTAAATTGGATGATTACATCTTTAATCAATCAGAACCTATGGATCGTTCAGGCGCAGATTTCTGAAAAATTTCATTCTAAAAATTTAATTAATATGTCTAATGATAATCTCTTAAATTTTTATTAAAATAACGTTTCAAAATACAATACGTCATAACGACTTTAATAATTCCAAATTCTCTGTTTCTTTTCAATAATCACTTATTACTTACTAATTGTGTAATATTACTTTTATAAGTAAAAAAAAATAAAAATCACTATAATTTGTGTAGTAATTTTAAAACGGTCGAATTTGTACGGAATCGCAACAGTATTAGCATTATTAAGTAGAACATGTACATCATGATTAACATAACAGCTCATTATATAAAAAAATAAATAAAAACCCATCGTTGTATGAACAGGCCGGGAGTAAACAATAATAGGTTGATTTGCCCGGTCACCAACCGCCTATTACCGATCCGTTTATGAATATGTAATGTGTATATAGCTCTACTGAAAGTGGGAGGTATCGCCTGTACAAAACCAGAGAGCTAAGTGGTGAATTAGTGTGTTATGTGTGTACTTTGTGGGTGTGTAAGGGTCACTAAAAATAAATAAATAAATAAAACTCAAAATCCAATGCTTATAATAATATTATTCAATAAAATGTTTTGGCGCTTTGGCTTAACAACATTTTAAGTATGACAATATTCTATTGCCTCTTTGGCACAACAATATTGGGTAAAAAATGATAACAACATAGACCTCTTTGTTACAAAATAATTTAGTATATAATAATAACAATATTAGCCCCTTTGGCACAAATTAATATTACACGGTAATGACTAGAACTATTAGGTAACGCTGTGGGAGCCGGTGTTTCAAATATTAAATAAATGTTATGGTAACTAAATTTTTACTAGAACAATAATTAATAATTCACTAAGATATAAAACAAACAGTTAATATTAGACTAGATCGAGCCTCCGTGGCTGACTAGATAATAAAAATGGTGCCTACGATTGACTTTATCCCTATCGACCTAACTGTCATTAAATAAAACAGAGGGTTAAAAATTCGTTCTAATAACTCACAATAGGAACTCAATAATATAAAATAAAACACAAATACAGTAAAATAATAACTCAAAGGTACTCACACAACGAAGAAACGCAAACCGCTGGCCTGGTCTGCTACCTAAACCTAAATAAAATGCTAAAACAAATAACTAATTAAATATAAAATTTAAAATGTCTTTATGACAATACCGCAGTTGACTAATAATACACGATTAAAAATGTCCTTATGACAATAATACAATTCCACTAATAATACACCATTGAAACTGTACTTATGACAATTAAAATGCGGCTCAAAAAAATGCCCTTATGGCAGTAAAATACAAAAGTATACTAAATCACACGGAGAGAAACACACAGAAGGTCTAGACAAATTTTTATAACAGAAAAAACACAGCTTGATTATAACGCACAAAATTCAACAAGTAGTGACTAGATAACACGGGCATAGCACATTTATTTACATTGGTTAGCCCGGTGCATTTAAATTTCGCCGCCAACATTGTAAATAAAACCTATCTCAATCTCATCATCATCGTTTGAGTTACAAGAAAAGGTAAAGTGTGTAAACAACACTCGGTTAGTAATATGTTTTTTTGGGTCTATTGACCATTAATTCATATAATAGTTGTTTAAAAAAAAAAACGAGTAACTTCATGCCCCGACCCTAATGTGATGGCATTTTACACTGGAAATTATTGCAAATAGAAAAAGTCAAACCGAACTGATTCTAGCCGACTTTGTCCTTGTAGTTGTTTATGCCTTTATCGAAGAAAAATACTTAAATTCAAAATTATACATAGAAAAAAAAAGAGCTGAACTTATCACGAGCGTGAACTTTATTGGGAAACGATTAACATTTTTCACTGTTGATTTTATTGGTTTATAATAACTATAATAAGATACATAAACACGAGACTGTGTGTTGTCGAATTTTCGCCTGGAACACTCCATCTATTCAGTGCCTGATTGTGTAGTACTTACTTGTCTATCTAAGTTTATCTGGAAGTTAAAAGTATATTTCAGTTAAAATTTAGTACAATTTGTATCTAAACGTATTGGAAATTATTGTATTTTTAAATGATCATATTTTCCGAGAAAATAAGTGTCTTACCCAAAACGAATCACCCTGTATATATATATATATATATATTATTGATTGTTAATCATCAGGTCTAATCGTATTTAAATTTTATAATCAGACTTTTCAAGGAATTAAAGGTATTGCCGCCTGTTAGCTCCTCGGGCGATATAGCAAATATATAAATGGGATATTTAAGTGCAGATACGGCTTAGCCATCCGTCCCATCATTGTGTCTACTAATTTAACCCAGGAAGATCTTGTAAGCGAAGATTTCCCAGTTTTAACAATGAAGCCAGTTTAGCCCTAGTTACTAATGCAAGCCAATAGATAACTGATATTCTACTAGACATTTTAAATACATATTAAAACCCAGAGATTTATAATCTTAATGTTTGGTGGCATGGAAGTTAGATATATGTGAAATAAAAAAATTGTCTGTAAAATGTAAAAAAAAAATACATTTACGCACCTCGCTAAAAAATTCGGTAGGTATGTTAGTATGGATTTTATACAACGAATAAATTTGTGTGTACTTATTTGCATAATTGTGCAAATATGCAAGTTTGTGCAAATAATGGAAAAAAAAAATTCAAAGATATGTAATCGTACATTATTCTTTATTCGTTTCAATTCTATGTAAATCAGGCATTCAAAGACGGTAAAATTCATTCGATTTCACTCGCAGTTTAACTTCAGATAATACTTTATTGACTAACCACAATGTTTTCAAAGTTCTCTCTGTCGTTTCTGTTTTTTATCCTAACGGTTAGCTGTATGCATACAGGCCAACCTGAAGGGAAAACCGAACCTGACGCATTAGGTTCAGCTGTACTTGAAGAGAAAACTGAAGTCACACCGGAGGATTTAACGGTCATTTATAATATTTTTTAAAAACTGTTAGGTTTTTTTCAATATTTTTCAGTATCATTTATAATATAAAGACAATTTTTCCCAATACAGAAATTCTCTAGGAAACTTTTAAAACTATAAGGATTTTGATAATATTTTACTGAATTATTTATAATATAAAGTAAAAAGTTTTCCTAAACAGCCATTCTTATCTAATAAACTATTAACATTTTAGCTTGAAAACTTACAAATAAGTGGGAAATCTGATGATGCACCTGAAGGGAAAGCTGAACTTGAAGCATCAAGCTCAGCTATAGCTGAAGAGAAAATTAATGTCACACCGAAGGATTTAGAGGTAATTAATATTTTTTTTTTTAAAGCTATTAGGTTTTTTTCGATATTTTTCAGAATCCTTTATAATAAAATGAAAAAAAATTCCCAAATAGAAATTCTCTAGGAAACTATTATTATTTTAGGTAAAAGACATACAAATAAAATTCTTGTCATAAATACTTGTAATCAAAATAATTGTCTAATATTGTTTGTTAAAAAAATGGTTTTTAATATATTAGATTAAAACTAGAGTCGTAACTTAATAATTCGAGTAAAATTTAATAAATATAATAAATGTTTAACCCAAAAAATGTATACACTTTACTACTTTGTAAATTACTAAGTATTATTAATTCTATCACTCTATGATTTAATATATTAATTATTCATATCTGAAAATCCGAACATTTATAGTAAATGCAAATTTTTTTTAACTTAAAGTATACGTTTTGTGTTGTATAAAAAAATGAAATAATTCTAGATTAATTTTTAAATATTTTTTTTATTTGGTTTTAAAACATAATAAACATATAATGATGTGATTTTTTAACAGCTAAAGTATGTTTTAATTATTTTATAGCAATTTTATTTTATATATTTCATCTAAAACAAATATGTCTTTAATAATTTAATAATATTTTTTATTTTAAAACAAAATATGTTTGCTATAAAATGTTACACACGTTGTACTGATTTTCTCTTAACTATCTTATCATCTAATTTCTATCATTATTATAACATAATATCACAACAGCATTCAGTAAAATAATGTTAATAGCGCTAATACTAGGCATACCAGCTACTATAATTTAAATAATTATAACAACAAATTATTTTGGTAAATTTTTTTTTTTTATCTTATTTGTAAAAAAATACTAAAATTCAAATATTTACAAAGTCATGACAAGCGAATAAATGAATGAAAGTTTAAAAGCTCAAAGAACAACATTTTTTATTACATTTTTGTCTACATATTTATGGAATTTTATTACATATGTCGCCATTGAAAAAAGTGATGTCCTGCTCTTTTTCTTTTTTGCTATAAGGGTTGGAGATACAAATTTTCACAGTATTGGAAAATTTAGTACAATATGTACCTAAAAGTATAGGACATTTTTTTTTTTTTAATGTTCATATTTTCCGAGAAAATTAGTTTCTTACCCAAAATGATTCACCCTGTAAATATTTATTTTTTTTATCGATTCTTAATCATCGGGTATTTATTTAGGTGTAATCGTATTTAAATTTTATAATCTGATTTTTCTATAAAATTAAACTTGTTGTTGATTAATAATTTTCAGCTAATAGATGAAGCGTTCGCGAGTATTAGAAAATTGTTGGAAAAAGAATACGACGATGACCTTACAAACGGAAAAATTGGACCTTATGATTATTACTTATACATGGGTGACAACGACAATGATTGGGATTTTATAAGACCATACTTAGAGAACCATATACAAGACCGTAGCGAATATTGTAAATATTGTTTACACACGTTATATGTCGTTAAATAATATTTTTTTTTATCTTCGATGCGAAACTGTAAAGTAGTATTTGGTTTTAAGGAAATTATTTTCATTCAAAATTACCATATAATATTTAATATACTATTAAATGTGGTGAGACCCAAAAGTATGCTTGATTAAAGTAAAATTAAAAACAAAATGACCGCCCTTCGTCCGGCCACAAATTTAGACAAATAAAAACATTATTATTTCAGCTGCAAATCGAAGCTAAAATAAATTATGTAATTGACAACTGCAACATATCCATGCCTCTATGATAATATATATTATTTATAATTACATTCAATGTTTTTTTTTTTGTTTTAGTTTGCATAACTTCAGAATTATTTCGTGATCTTTTTATAATACATTGTAAAAAATCAGGACAGCCCGTTGCAGAAATTGCTGAACAAAAACAAATCGCAATGGTGAAAAAGGTTGGAAATTTTGCGTTCAATAGAAAATTTTTTGATTACCTCATTGTTAAATTAAAACCTACGGATCGTTCAGACTCAGATTTCTGAAAAATTTCATTCTGAAAAATTGACTAATATGTCTAATAATGTTATAATTTTTTTTTTTTCAAATATCTTAAATTGTCATTAAAAAAACTTTTCAAAATCTAATATGTCATAACGACTTTAATAATTCCAAATTCTCTGTTTCTTTTCAAATAAACACTTATTACTTACTAATTGTGTAATATTATTTTTGTTTGTAGGAAAAAAAAAAAATCACTATAATTTGTGTAGTAATTTTTAAACGGTCGAATTTTTACGGAACTGCAACCGTAATAGCGTTATTAAGTAGAACTTGTACATCATGATTAACATAACAGCTCATTATATCAAAAAATATTTGTATATTATGTGTCTAGACACTTTCACTTTCAGGTAGGTATAGGAGATAAATGATAAGAGATACTTGATAAGTGATAAGTGATAAGAGAGTGATACAAATAGTTCAGCGCTTGGTACGGGCAAATTTTTGCAAAATCCTCATTTGAAGGTGCAAAACGGTGCACGTGTAATAATTGTCGGTTCAGTAATATTAGAATTATTTGTGCAATTCTAGTGCAATTTCGTATCACGCCGGCACACCATCACCGTCAGTTAGAGATAAGAGATAACTAAGTGATAAGAGACAGAGATAACAGATATATATATATATAAACGGCTACGAGGTACGATTTTTTTTTTTCGAAAATTGCCCAACCGCTGGCCCTCGATAAATACAACATCCTTTTCCGGTCACCTCGACGTAAGTACAACACGGTCGAAGCCCCGTGTTGAAGTGTGTCGGCGCATTAATGTTGAATATTGTCAGGCGGACCGATGGAACGATCATACGCGTACGATCGGGGACCAATAAAGCGCATGAGGCGGTGAGACGGGCCGGGGGCAGGGCGTGGGAGAGGGTCAATCACGTGCGGCCCACACGTAATTCGATCAGACAAAGAAAACCGTGTCCCCTTCACTTCAGTCGGAGACCCTTCGCGTCGGGCCAAACGATGGGCGTGTGCGCGGAGCGACGGCTAAAAGGGCAAGACGACGGATCCGCGTGTACGTCGCACGCGGCAGCAAAAAAAATAATAATAAATAAATACGAATAAAATATTGCAAGTACGACGACCCAATAAACCCGCCGAACGGTAATAGTAAATTGCGTATAAAGAGAGGGCGGCGACGGGTTTCAGTCGCTTTTCGGTAAAAAAAAAAAAAAAAATAATAATAATAATTTGCTTCCTTGCCCGAACACTGTAACACCGTTGGTCTTTATTATTATATATATATATATTATCACTGAAGAATAATGGACGGTAACGACGTACAACGCAACGGCATCTCACAGTGGTCTAAAAGCTAATTTAGGTGGAATAAAGTCAATTATTAAAATTCATAAAAATAGGTATTTTATGTTATTAACCCATTATATATAAGTTCTATATGACAAAAAAATAGAATTTCAGATAATATTAACATTACCAAGCGGCGCAAGCGATAAGTAAAACATAATAACGCGCTCACAAACGTCGAATCGTTCACCGATTGTACATTACATTTTTTTAGTATATTATACACAGGTAAACTTTTTTTTTTGAATTAGTTTCATATAAGTAATGAATTCGAAAACTTAGGTAAGTGTTTCATATTAATATTATAAATATTTATTATTTTACTATTAAAACAAAGTTAAACAAGTAGTAAAAAAATGTTAATATTGATATTTCAAAGCGTATAACTAAAAAATAACCCATAATAATCGTTATTCAATATATATACAATATAGTACTTGTTCTTCAGTACCAGATCCCAAAATTTGGTTTGCATCCATTTGCATCTGTAGTTTTAATAATTTTTTTTGTAGGTAGCTCTAGCGGCAGTGTTGGAATAAATGATTCTGAAATTGACGACAATTTGGATTGGAATAACACTGATTCTCGGTATTATTCTTATAATGATTTTTATCAGCTATTAAAAAATAGAGGTCCACTAAATCCCCATTCTTTAAAATCGAGAAACTATTTATTTGAAATTTTGAGGGCATGGTATGAAAATGTAAAATGGCAACCGCAATACACATTAAGTTAGTCAACCATTCAATTTTAAAGTTTACTTTGGTTTTACAAAGACTTTGGTGTAAAAGCCATTATAAACTTTATTATAATTAACTAATGTAATATGAACATTTTTAAGGACAACTTTCCGAGGAAGCACAGGAAGCTCGAAATAAAGACTATAAAAATTATCGCGAACATCACTCGCGAAAAATTAGTAGAGTAGCTCAAAATGAAGACGTTCTACACTTATTACTTGTCACTTCAGATCCATATATTTCCTCAATTTGCAACATACCAAAAAAAAAAAAAAATGAATTGGACAATGACGTAAAATCATTATTAAATTTAAGTTATGAAACATATGAAGTTTACGAAAGTTAAATTTCAATTTAAAAACAAAATATTATGTTTATTTGCATCTTACAATTATACGTGAATTTAAAAATTGATATAAATTTTGAACTCTTTGACCCCAAAAACATTAAGTACCACTTTTTTACAATTTTTTGGACAAAATCTGAGGAAAATTTGATCAATATAAGTTTTTTCCACCTAAAATTGCGTTTCAGACCACTGTGCGGCATCTCTACGGCGCACAGTGGGGCTGGAGGCCTCCAAAATTGGCAAAAAATATAATATAATAAAATGCGGAACTATTTATAAACTAATAACATTTTTGTTTATTTCAATTATTATTTTATTCTTTATTTAAACCATTTATTAGGGTTATTATTTAGTAAATATAAATAGAAACATATGGCGAGATGTATGCGTAAGCTAAGGAACCCCTTAGTCAAGATTGTGTTATGCTAATTTGGACAAAATGTGCACATAACTAACAAAGTAGCAGAAAGTAGCAAAATGTGTAAAGTTTTTTTTTACCCCTGTAACTCATACTTAATAGAAAAACAAACATTCGGCACACGATCAACTTCGGAACATAACTAAAAACTTTTAAACGTTTGTAGAATCTTTCTATAAAATATAAATTGTAAATTATTTCAAACAAAAAATTGGCTAATGAATCATTACATACGTTACGTCGAAGGTTTCATAGTTTAAAAATGTATTATTTAGATAATATCTCAAAATAGAAACAAAATGGAATGATATTAATAACATATAAAACATTTTTTTTTTATCGAGGTGACTCGTCGATATTTGCCCTAGTGAAAGGAGCGGGAAAAAGTGCCATAATATCATATCTGATTATATGATACGTTATGTTGTTTATAAAATTAGGGGTTTTATTAAGTGATAAGCTTTAAATGTGAAACAATCCAAAAAATACAATTCCAATAAACTCACGGACAGTCACTTTTTGTTTTTTCCATACACCCTATTTCTCAAGGAGTTAGGTACAGGAAAATGTTTGCAAAATATTAGTTTAAATGTCAAACTGTGCACGTTTAATAGTTGTGGGCTCGGCAATTAGAATTATTTGTGGGTAGTGCAATTTCATATGACGCCATTTTCGCGTTACATTTTCACTTTCAGTTGGAGATAACAGATATGTGATGAGTGATAAATTATATTTTATCTCTGAAATCACCCTGAAAGGTACTGTTGTCTGTTTTGTGTGGGTAAACATTGTTTCTACCGTTGAAAAACATCGATGATGCTTGTTGAATAACTACTTCATGTTACCAATCGCATTACATAATAACTATGTGTATAACTGCTAAATGCGAGGGTTAGAATGCATTCCAACGTTGGAATCCCGCGCTCGGGCATCAATCCCTAGGAAACGGGGGTTGGACTGCGACGTGGAAGGCAGGGGGAAACCACCTCGTCGAATAACAAATGATAAGGAATTACACAGTTTAATAACTGAATGAATGTACATTGGACAATTAATGAAGAACGCGGCATAGCCACGTCGTACACGGAGCAGCTTTTGTTGTAGACCAATCTCAGGACTGGGGGGAAAAAAAAAAGAAGAAAATTATTGTACACTTACCGAGTGCTATTATTTAAAGTAGGTACACAACCTCGGTTATGAAATTGTAGTCGATAACTTGCTGAGCCCGCGGGAAATGAGATGGAGAAAATATATTACATCACTTTGAAACAGTTGTGCGTCGTGGCTTTTTTTTCCGCTTCGCAAATGGATTCAAACTTTGTCCATCAGCGGTGGCGCTGCGGTTGATCGAGTAGTCGGGGTTTTTAAAATAAAATAAAAAAAAAAAAAAATTTAAATAAATAAAAAAAAAAAGGTCTGAAACTGTCATAATGTGTATACGCTGGGTCGACACTGTGATATTTTTTTAAACGTTCTTCACTCCGTCCACATTATTGTAATATATTTTGTTTTTCACTTGAAAGCATCGACCTAACAGTTTTCGCTGAACGCGGAAAGCCGTACAAAACCGTTTTTGTTTAAGTCAATTCCTACACCGACCGTATTCAGCAGTTATTGTGAACCTTACCGACCGACCGAAATGTTTGTCTTTAAAAATAATACTGTAAACGGTCTTGTTTAAGCTTAAACGACTTATTTTCCGACTTGCAGAACCGTTCGAAATCCTCTTAACAAAAGTACCTCAAATCGATCAACAATACAATTATTTATATATATATATATATGTGTGTACTATATAAGCGGCGTTTGAACGAAACACTTGTAACAATATACACAATATAGTATTATTATCGTTGTGATTTTAATATAATTATTGCATTATGTGGATTCAAAAGCGTTTTACCATATTGTACACCATGATGAAATCGGACGCCCCTTGTATGTGTATACACAGATTATTAGTTTTGGAAATCAATAAAAACCCTACTCTGCCTTCCCACGACCACATACTGTATGAAGGGTATGTACATATACGGGTAGCATAAAAAAACATAAAATTGGTTATACACACATAATATTATAATAATAATATGATACAGAGAACATTATGTTGAATTAATAATAATGTGCTTTAGTGGATTCTTCCTTGCCTGAACACTGAACACTGTAACACCGTTTGTCTTTATTATATTATACACTTATATTTTATCATTCATGAATAATGGATGATAAT